ATTTCCTGATTGTAGGAGAGATAACTAACCCTTCCTGCAACCCTGAACAAGGAGGAGCATCAGTTTATTCTAGCAACTACCTTCACATCCAGTTCTAATTTTGCCAACAGCTAGGAGATCAAATTTGGATGTGCAAGGCTGCGCCATGAACAAAAGCAATGCACCTCCTTCGTCTCTCCTGCCCGGATGCCCTAGCCCCCGTGGCAAGCCTGGAGAAGTGACCCTGCTCCCCTGCAGTCCCTTAGAGGAGACAATGAGTGCTGCATCACGCGTTACCACTGACTTTAACTCTCCTGCTGTTGGATTCACTGATGCGTACAGGACTCTTTCAGTGTCCAGAGAAGACTGTTCTGTTCCTCTGTCTGTAACCTAAGACCACTTTGAGGGCTGAATCCCTGCCCTCCAGCAAGTAATGCCTTTGATCCTTCCTTCCCACTGCGCTGTTTGTAGCAAGCCCTTGACAAGGTCAAGAGCTATTCCCATCTGTCTCTGTAGCCACATCCGTACCAGTGCACGTCTGACACAGCTTCTCCTCAGTTGCTGCCACTCTCTGCCCTCTGGGATGTCAGCATCAGTGGTCAGAGGGTAGGATGGCAACCCAACAGTCATGTCTGAATCCAGAAGGTGACCTTCAGCACTGTCACCGCTAACACATGGGTGACACTTTGTCTTGGTCCAGAAATGAAGTGCTATCTTTAGCTTGAGAAAGACAATTAGTTGGCCAATTAGATAAGCATGGATCATATAGGCAGTATTCAGCTCACCTGCTTTCCTCTCCTGCCATCACTTGTTAAAGGAAGAGGGATGAATTGGTAATAAAAAGGGAGTTAATCCTGCAGGCAGCTGTTTTAATCTTGACAGTGCTGCATGTCTTCATACAATATTTTTGCCAGACATGCTCAATACAGCTTTCAAAGGAAGCTGTTGATTCTTAAAAGACAAGGCCTTTCACCTCCTACAAAAAGAAAGAGCTTTTTGGGTTTAAATACATACAGTCAGAAAAAAGTCACACCACTTGGAAGAACATTGCAGATGTAGCATTTAATCCTGCTCCATTTAATTCTTAATACGCTGAAGCTAATATGGGTTTAACTAAATCCTGCGTTAAATACTCTAGAAGCCATTCTGTTCATACTCTGAATAAATGCATCTTGCAGCTACACAGTGCCACAGCAGCTTAAAAGTGCACAAGTATGGTTTCTCCACTGTTGTATTTACCCTGCCTCTTCTGGTATCTCCTGCTTTGACTAAATTCAAAATGGGGTCGTCTGGCAAGCTGGAGCACATTTTACTTCAGATGGAGAGGTGCATACAGTGGAGTAGGTTTCTTTTATTCTTTTTATATGAGTAACAAAATGTTTGGAAGTGAATATTTATTAGTAACAAAAGCACCCACAAACCAAGCAACCCCACCCCAATAATACGCATCTTCTGATTTTAAGTACAAGGCAATTTAGGTGTGGGGGTTTATTTACTACAAACATAATCATCTGTTTGGGCTTTTGTTTGCTTTTCTACAATGAGCAAGGTGTCAATTACCAGTGACATCCATCTTAGCTCATTTCAACTGAGAGATATTAAAAAAATCTTGATTAGCTTTTTGGCTTGTACATGTGCTACAGTAATAGATATGAAAATGCAGGCTAATATAGCTAAAGGCATGCAATTATAACTTTTGTTGTGAAATGTATGCCAGACGTGCTCGGTTTAGACAACATATAAAGGTAGGACATGGAATTTTTAAATACTATGGTCATTGATCAGGCTCTTTTTTGTGTCCTTTCTACAATCCTTTTGCTTTAACCAAGGCAAATTTGATTGTCTGACGTGAACTGAGATAATACAGACAGGAGGAAAACAGAGGAAGAGAACTGTATTGATGATCTGCTTGGGTTTGATTATTGACTTTTGTTTTAAATCACCAGAGTCATGTTCTAGAAAAGAATGACTTGTTGAATCCCTGCTTTATCACCACCAAGAAAGGATTGCCATAGCAACAGGAAAAGACTCTGCATTATAAGAATAGTCACAAGCTGAACAAGATCATGGTTTAAGATAATGGCCCGGTAGCATGGCAATACGCCAACCAGGGGTGGGGAGGGAGGGAAGTGGCATTTTTCCAATGACAAAGGCATTTAAAAAGAGCTAAAACTGTAAATGTGAAACACGTGTGTACTCAAGGCTAACAGAAAGTGCAAGACAAGGAATCGAGAAGCCGTCTGGCCCATTTGTCCAGGGAGCAAATCCACAAGGTTTCTTGTTGATAAATCCCTGAGTTGTCTCTAAGGGTGAACTGCAAGTGACTGATGTGTGTCTTTATCATTTTCCCCTTAGCCTCTCTGCTAGGGCATCCATAATGTTCTGCAGCCAGTAATGTCCATACAGCAACTACACAGAAGTGTTTTAAGGCAGACATTTCATGTAGGTTACCTGTCAGGCAGAACCTGCTTAACATCTGGTGGTTACTCGTGAGGTCTGACCCAGCGCTGCAGTTTAGAGGTGCAAGGATCATTCCATCTGCTGTTTGGTGTATCTGTCCTGTTTAGGCACTTACATTTGACCCCCTCCTACAACATTTGTCAATCCTCAACATTCAATTCCACAGTATTTGAGAACAAAGCTACAAATGTACACTTAAAACATGAATGAGGATGAGTGCTGAATGAGATGTAAACTGTATGATGCTTGCGACAAAATTTTTCCTGAGATTTTCACTCGAAGCCAGCCATCCTCAATTTAAAATTAAGTAAGTGACAGAACAATAAGAACTACAGATTAGAACATGTTGGAAATGAGAAACCCAGTACATAGTAACTGCTGTTCTTTACAACCATTTCTTTGTGGCCAGGTGTGTGTGGTTTTTGTTTTAACACCTCTACAAGGATTTCTGTGCATTTCAATAAAGCTTTTTGTCTTCACCCCTTCAGCTGGTATAGTGAAGGAGTAAATTCACACTGAGAGTACCAAGACGATTCCAGCTCTGGAGCCAATGGGAACCGTTACTTACACCTCTGATTTTCCCATTTTCTCTTTCAACACAATGTGTGTCAGAAAGTCTTCTTTGGGAATTTGGGAAAACGTCAAAAGAAAGAGTCTTCAGTGAAAACCACCAATGTGCTAATGCAAAGTGACACTAAACCCAAACACTTTCCTTTACCAGTCACCAAGATCACCTGTACACAAGGTTACACAGTGTACAGTGAGACTTTTTTTCAGTTTGGAAGTTAACAGACAGCTTGAGCCAGCCTAACTGCATGCTGCATGTTCTGATACCCTCCATGCTGGCTCCATGACCAAGTACTACAATTAATCCAGAAGGAAATGTGTAAGCTTGTAATCTGTCAGGTCAACAAAGTTGAATCAACTGAGCGAGTTTTCAAGACAACACTGAGCTAACACAAGGGCAAGCTTAGTAGGACTTGGCAAGGACAAACAGGATCTCCTCGTTTTAACACCCGGAGCTATTAGGAACAGTGCAAGTATCGTGAGTAAATCCCACCATAGTCTATAACTAGCCTGCAGTCAAATTAATTGTAGGAAAAAGAAACCAACCAAAATTACCTACCAAAACCCATTAGCTGCACAAGATTCATAGCAGCAGTGCATCCTTAAGATGTTTATGGCCTACTTTTTAAAGACATGAGCCAGTGAGGATTCAGGAAATGTGCTTTTATAGAAAGAGGAGCACAGAATGTAACCTTCAGGTACAAACTGGCCTAATAATTTCAGAGAAGAAAGAGACTACTAATCGTGATGACAAAATTCAAGTACCAGACTGCATATTATAAACAGGAAGAGATGTACTGAAATCTTATGATGGCACGGCAGCAGGGAGGGAATGACAAGCTGTAGAGCATAACACTGCTTGTTTCAATGTCTGGGACCCTCAGTCCTGGAACACCTATCTCTCCTTGCAAACATCTGCCCTATTTCTCTACTGAAGAGCTAATAGAAAATACTGCAAGGAGTTCCTTGACACTGCAAGAAAAAATAATATCCAAAATCAAAAGGTATGACCATGGCACGTACTTCTGAGAAAGATGTATCTACCTGTCCCCTCTCATACAGAAACTGGCCAATGGATGAATCCCCAGACACAATAGGCAAAGTCTAATCAGTATCAGAATCATTACGGACCCAGTTCTTCCATTAGCATTTTAATTTTATACCCCTGTAAACACATCAACTTTGCCAGGAAGGTTCTACAATTCTTGTTCTACAAACAAAGGCTACAAATCAGAACGAGGACAAAACACAGGAGAGACGTCAGTGTACACCTGACCCTGTAAATCCAAAGGGAACAGATTTTTTGCTTTTGAAGTATTCACCTGGCACTCAAGAAGCAAGAGAAAAAAACCCAAACCTCTACAGCTAGACACAACATATCATTTCAAAGACTGTCAGTCACAAAGCAGGCCGAGATTGCTGGGATCTGCAAATTGTTTTGGCTTGGCAGCATTTTCAGCATGAGGTGAATGCCATTATGACTAATGGGATTTCCCATTACACGTGGCCTAAGGAAAGCAGACATTTCAGAAAACAAATCAGCACTATAAAGGCATAAATATAAATATATTTATGCCTAAAATTAGATTTACTTTTCTGGTATGGAGCTGACCACAATATACTCAGGAATGCAGCATAAGAAATGCTACTGTACCTTATTTAGCTGTACTTGCAACCTTTTGCTGACTACATACCCAAAACTACAGAGAAAGTGCTGTCACAGCAGCTAGGTCAAAACTCAACACCCAAACAGCGTCAGACTTATGGAAAAGAAAAATAAAGCAGAATATTAAAAATAAGGCAAAGAAAAGATCTTGTAACTGCATTTAGGAGTGATGGCAAATCCCTGTCATTCCAGCTTTGCACTTCCTACATTTCCTACAGTCATTTATCAGTCACATCCACTCAGTTTTGTTTTTCTTACAGAGGAAGGCAAGGTGTGTTTCTTCTCTGAACTGCTCCACTGAAGTAATGTGGCATGAACCCCAGCTTACCTGAGTCTAAGTGCCACGGGTCGGTAGCGGCCGACATTGGTGGGATGGTGAGTGGAGATGCTCCGCAGTTGGATTCCACCAGTTCCCCTTCGATGTGGACGTGAGAGGAGACGTTGGTAGGTCTCAGAGCTGCTTTGAGCGGAGCGATCTGGTTGAACTGTACTCTGGATAGGCAGCCAGTGAATCCTGGGGTGTTGTATTTATATATATCTTGGTCAATCTTCCCAATTTCTATGGGAAATTAAGGAGAAAAAAAAAAGAACGTAAAATTAATCAAAACAATTCACTGCTCTGGGAAGCACGGTTGGTCTGAACACTTGATTCTCAGAGCTCAGTTCCAAAGTTCCTCTCTCAGGAGACTGGGAATGTGTCAAACCCTGCCAGGTTTCTTTACATTCCATTACAGATTAAAGCTGGAAACCTTCAGGCCTTGATGTGACTCAGTTTCACTGCTATGCTATCATTAAAATGAAAGGCTGGCATGAAGGAGTCATCAGAGAACAAAAGGCTGGGGAAAAAAATCATTTCCCCAATAAGAGGTGGTGAAGGAGGAGGCAAAGTCAGTCATTGCCAGGGTCTCTCCTCCCAGCTGAAGCTGCTGCTCTAAGAGATGCCCCTTCCTTCACCTTGGTTACCCTGTAGCCCCCTCTCAGTGGGCCAGGGCCACTCCTGTTCGCTCCCATCCCTCTCCTGTCTCCTTGCCAGGAGAGCAAATGTCCCTTCACCAGGGGACCACACGTCCCTTCAGCCCAAGTGGAAACAGCCCCTCTCCAGCTTCCTTCCTTCCACAGCAGTGCTGAGAGGTGGCAGGTGCCCATCCAGCCCCGCTGCAGGCTGAGGAGCAGCGTGTGTGCTCCTGCACCTCTGCAGCTAGGCCTGTGTCAGCTGAGAACCTGCCTCATTTTACACCCCGTGCTGTGCTGAAAGGCAAGCTTTCAGCCAACATTCATGAGCAGAGCACAGGGCTCCACCACTGTTCTTCCAAGCTGCCTTCCAAGTAGTTTTCTCCCTTCTAACCCACCAGTTAAAATGATCCCAAGGAGGTGGCTGTAAAACACAGCACATGCCCTTACTCCCCAAGAACCTGCTCGCAGGACCTGCTGTGACAGCCTGAGTCACGACCGAGATAAATCTGGCACTGTCAGCTAGCTGTGTTGAGGGGTATTAACACTTCAAAGGCTCCCTGCAGTATCTAATATAATATCTACGTAGCAGTGAGGAATCTGCTTTCCTTTCTTACATGATAGCATGAAGCAAACGAAAAGGACACACGGCAGCATCATGTTTGTGCTGTACCATGAGCTATTGTTCTGGAGGCATGAGACACTTCAAACTGCCTTTCCCTGGGTCAACAGGGACAGGAGTTAGGTCTGGTCCTTAAAGTCAGTGGGGGAAGTCGTACTGAGCTGAGCAAAGCAAGATGGTTATGTCAGGGAGAGGGAGCAGCCCCAGGTTGTTGAAAAGCAACCTGTTATATGTCAGGAACAATGGTAAGGGTTTGAAAAATGGCATTTCTGGAGAAGAAGTTGGCTGTAAATCACAAGTTTGTGTCATAAAAGGAAAGGAGGAGGTGGGACAGAGAGGGTTCTGCTGAGAGCTGTGAGGAGAAAGTGGGAGAAAAGTTTTATTTTAAGAGTTTGGGGATGTGCTGGGTTGTGAACCAAAGCACATCTGGGTTTTGAGGTTTGCTACAACAAAAACCCCAAAACCTTAAATCAGAACTATTAGAAAATGCATTACTAACCTTTTGGATGTGTTCAGTTCTAACCAAACCAGGATCAGTTCTATGAGGCCTGAGCTGCTGCCTGGGCTCCCTAAGTATGTGAGTGCTATTCCTAAGAGCACAGAGCATCAGAGACACGCATGAGGAGTTTCAAGGCTACAAACCAAGCTGGGAATGTCAAGTATGCCTGTTTTGGGGGGTGGGGGGTGGGGTTTACAGGTTAAACATGAACTGGGGGAAAACTGGTGGGAACTGGACAAATCTTGACATGATTAAAGCAATTTCTCTGTTTTCACAACAAACTAAGCTGTACCTTTTCTATGTCTGCAACCATGTTAGAACGATAAATACACACCATTTAAGTCCCCACCAAACCCAAGGGACATGCGCAGACACATGTAAGGACACCCAAGGAAGATTCATAATCTGAAAGTTACTTGCATCAGATCCTTGTGTGATCCGCTGTACAAGCACGGATTTTCTATTCCTCCCATTCTCCCTTTTCCTTCTTGTTTGAGAACATGCTTTCCTTACTAGCGCTTAGCGAGCCTGTATCAATATTACAGCCACACGTCTTCACAAGCTGGCAGCAAGCAGCAGCTGTCACCTCTGACAAAGCATAAACTTGCTCAGGACTCAGCTAGAGACTAGCTTAAATGCATTAAAATCATTGTACTAGTCAAGTGGGCCTTGCATCCTACTCTCCTTTAAAGAAGTAGCTTGACTGAACAGTTAGCATTATCTCCCTCATGGACAGGAGACATGGTCTAGTGTGAGGCATCCCTGCCCATCACAGGGGAGTTGGAACCTTAAGGTTCTTTCCAGCCCAAACCATTCTATGATAGTAAGTAAAAAACCTCTCATGTATATGCACACTTTCCATAGTCAATAGAAAAGCTGTACCACATCCAGAGTTCATGAATTTGAATGCTACTTGTAGACGGTATCACTCAGACACGGATCCTATCTGACCACAATATTCACTGTCTCTTACTTCAATAAAATATTCATGGCATATTTTGCAATTTTGAGTAATCCTTACAATCTAAGGAACAATCAGAAGACCACGTTTCTCTTTGAACACTGTAACCACTGCCAGTGACAGTTCAGAGATTACCTTTTATTCACATTTTTATATATTCTGTGGAACTTCATGCAACCATGCTAATAGCCTCCCACTCACAGTGCTGAATGACAGGAACAAAACCCCATCAATATGATTGTGCTACCTTAGCAGTTTCAGCACCATTCTTCTCTAACTCCATGAATAATAAATGATGGATACAGATGCTGAAAGAATTAAAGAGAAAAACCCACCCAAAAGCCCCTAACAAAGCACCTTGCTGAAGACCTGCATTTCTGTTTAAAACATTCCACACACGATGGCTGTGCAAGTCACCTCATGCAAATTCATACCAGCTCGCACCAGATCAGTGCTAAACCAAGATGGATCAACTTCTGTAACTGTGAAAATGTTCCTTTCCATGCTTGTCCCATGGGGCTCAGCACACCGATACTCTCTGATGTTAGGGCATTATACTTTGCCTCCCTGTCTATCTGAGCCTGCTAAAAACCCATCCCTGGAGAGTGTAATGATTAGATAATGAAATATGCCTTTGTTGTCATGACTAAAATTCAATTTCCTCCCTATAACAACGAGGGGAGAAAAACAACAGAAGATGACAATCGCATCCTTTAAAAAAGGGAAGTGTACAATGCAGCCACTTTGCATTGTTCTGATTTTCAGCACATCAGCTAGTGCAAAGTCATAAAACTATTACAGTATATAGTATTATCATTACCTAATAGCAACATTAGTATTATTGCTTTCGGATCTGATGCAGCAATCTTCTGCTGGCACCCTACCCACAAGCATTTCTGTAATGAAAGACTTCCAAAAATACCGCTTATAGACCTTTTCCAACTCCAACTGGTTTTAACCACTTGTTCCCTGCTGACATAACCTGCTGACTTGAGATGAAGGCCATGATTACAAGACAGAGACCATTCAGGCAAACCCATTCTAGCACAGTTGTACTACAGTGTACAAATCCTTAACGCTGAACATTCACATGGTAACTGTGCAACTGCCCACCCACATTACTTAAGCACTTAAAACGTATATAACTAGTACACAGTATACTAAGAACCTCACAGATGTTGCCCCATGTCTTGTGTGCTTCTGTTCACTGAAGATACACAGAACATCAATTACTTGTTATTTATGCTTTGTTATTTCTTTAACAGTAAAAAGAGGATTTTAATCCTCAATTACCTGCTTTAATTTCAGGGTGTATTTCCCATGGCTGTGACAGAAACATGCCACACAGTGATAAAACCAATACTATTTCTCTATTGAAAATGATGGGCTACTACTGAAGAAGCTCTTTTCCACCTCAGTGAAAAGACAAAAAACCCCATCTATTTCCAAGCATATTTATGACACAAGGCACCATTAGTGAGTACCCAACAAGCTGAAATTCGTTATCCTATAACAAGCAAAATCATTTGCATAGAGGGAAAAAAAACATGTCTGGATCTGTGTGTAAGTAACAAATGTGTTAAGTAGCACATAGCAATACTAATCAGTGTAATTAATTAGATTGTCTGGTTTTTAAGCCTTTTTGCCATTACTGCATTGCCTGTAGATGCAGAGTTGTGGCTCCTGCCTGGACTCTAGTACAAGATGAACAAATAGAGTTTGGTTCAGGTTTTTACCAAAGTTGACCTAGTTAGCATGCATCTGATGAGCTACTTGTAGAAGCAAATACATTGCAAATATAGTTTTTGTCTATTCTCTCCCTTCTCTGCTTTCCATATCTACTTACCAGTAAAAGATCTGCGGATAGCTGGAAGGGCCACAGCACGTCTAATAGCACAAAAGGTTACTGCACTGCTGGCGAGGTCCAGCTCCACTAAATCCATTTGTTTTTTATATATTCTTGTGGCATTGTTTGGAAAAAGACTCAAGAAAAACAACAGCCAGATTTGCTGAGTATCTTTTCTATTCTAGCTGATCTGTACAGTCTTTCTTTATAGGACTCTGAAATGCCTATCGATACAGAAAGTTATAATAAATTCTTAACCTTGCACAGTGTTCAATACATACAGACAGCATCCAGGCATCAAGGCATTACTTGTTGTGAATTATGTTCCATTAGGAAGGAAATGTAACAGAACTTGGAGTACAGTTTGTGGGTATGCACAACAATGTATGTAGTAAATATCCTGTTATAAATTCCCTTGGAGATTTCCAGTGATGCCCTTCAAAGTGGAAATAAGGCATAGCAAGGGTGCTTTTCTATCACAGCAAGGCTCTCAGTGGATGTTACAGACATCTAACTCTTCTTTCTTTTTCAGTACTGGAAAATCTCTGCCCAAAATAACACAAAGAGGGCAGGGAGAAGAAAAGCACGATATACTGGAGTGTTTTTGGTTATGATAGAAGATGCCTTTTAAACAAAGGAAAGTCTCAGCAGCACAACCAAAGCCCTTTCAGTTCAATTTACTGAAGACTATTTCTTACACAATTTACACAAGACATCATTTGAGTTTTGCTTTGAAAATGGTGACAAATCCAGCTGTTTGCCTTTAGGACAATGACCTGTTTATATGTACCCATTTACACCCGAAAATACAACAGCTTAATGATTCTGGAAAGAAAGTAGCTGTGTCACTATTGAGAGAAGTCCAGCTTTGACACAGGGCAGTATTTCTAGCTGAACTACCAGGATGCGCTGCTATTTCACTTTACATTAAGCACCCACCCAGTGGGTAGATAGAAGGTGATCCATTATAAATCTCTATAACCCTTCAGCTAGCTGTACTCAACAGAGCCAAAATTATCTCTATATAATATTTTAATAGACTGCACAGGTGAATTCACCAATTCAGTTAAATGAACCACTAATTGCTTTTGGGTCAACCTTAGCAAGAGATTTTCTCTTCAAAATAGAGCACCATGTGCTCTCTTGTCCCTTGTACTTAGAAAGGTATCTTGTTACATTACCTGCTGCTCAAATATCAGCCGCATCAGCATCTTAAGCATCTCTCTGTTACTGTGTCAGGCTCCACATAATAGAAAGCAGTTTAAACTCTGCTGAAAGGAAGCTATTGATTTCAAGAAGTCACAGTCCGCTGAGACTATAAAGCACTTTCTCTTGTTTGTTGCCTAGATGAGCAGTTCAATGCAAGAGCAAGCCCTGGCACATACTAATACCTGAAGACTGGTGTGGTATAAAAAAAAACCTGAAAGAATACATAAATTAGCTTGAATCACATACAGTACATAGTCATAGGGAGAATCTATCTGGGATGACATACACGTGCTAGACCAAAGCCACAGGGCTAAAAATTCCCTGTCAGGAGCAACTACTATATAGCCAAAAGGGGGATAACAGCAGACAAAGGGAAAATGAAGTCTGACACATCACCTAGGTCTTCCGATGAACATCCTCCAGTATGAAAATCAAGCCCCTGTTTGCTTACTGGCTGTTTATATTTTCTCTGTCTGAAGATCAGTAATTCCTATTAAAGTAAGTGGTACAGGTAATAAAACAACAGGAACTTTATTTTGCCCATAACTCAAAACTGAGCTGGTGCACACTGCTTTCTGGACACTCACACCAGTGGAACAAGATGCTCATTTATGGAGAACTTATTACAGGGGTGCTGGGGGCAACAAAAGGGCAAATGGTCCCTGAGAATGGGGACCTGAGCTTCCCAGGACCCAAGCACGAATGACCCTCAACTGCTCTTCATGCAGCCAAACCCCATGTGCCAGTCACACAGATCTGCAAGGGCCAGGTGGTATCCGGATGCTTCTCCACATGTCCCTTTCCCTTCATGCTAATAGGCTTAGGGGCCTGCAGGGATGGAGTGAATATGGTGAGATGCTGTCGGGTGGTCTCCAGCCACCCTGCCACTTCCTCTTCTGGATGCATCCTGAGAGACTCACTGAATCCTTCAGCCTGGACCCCAGACCTGAAGTCAGATGCCTTCAGACATGCCTCCACCTGATTGCTTTCCAGAGCCTTCAGGTGCTGCCCACTGTATGGCCCTATCAGGTGATGTGGTCCTTCTGTGGCTGTTTTAACTTTTGCTTTGTAACTTTATGTTACTTATAACACATTATAGCTTGTACCGAATAGTTTTGTTTAGACACTTTATGTCTAGACTGTCAATTCACTGGCCACCCCCTGAAACACACAGAAGATGCTATTTGTGCGTATAAAGCACTGTGCCAGAAACCAAAGGTATTAACATTAACCCAGCAGCACCAACCGATAGTGTTGCACAGCAAACACAGGGTGCTTTCACTTGCTGACACCAAAGAAATAGCTTTATCCATGGTGCAAGCAAGAGAAAAATTATTTATGAAGCCTGTAACAGCTCAGTGCGTGTTTCAGTTGCAGCAGCAGCTTTATCAGCACTGACAAAACAAAGGCCATTTCTGTATGAGGCATTCCCGACACTTTCTGCACAAGCTGGAAATGATCAAACCAAGTGAAAACCACACAGGATTAGAGAACCTGAGCTGGCCTGGAAGCTGCGCTGTGGCCCTGGAGCACTTCCAAACCCCAGCCCCTGGCAGAAGAGTTACAGCTTTCGGGTCATGCTGTAATGGAGACAGTAAATCACTGATGTGAAATGCACTCCTATCAAAGTCCCATTATTGCAGTAATAATGAAGACTGGTGCTGGACTGCAGCTCCTCAGTCAAAAAAGGCACTGTGAAGGATGCTAAGAAATGGAGATGTTATTTGACAGCAGCCTGGTTTCCCGTTGCCACAGATGAAGAGGGTTTGAGACCAACAAGTTCAATTTTAAAGTTTCACATATAGCCAGCAACAGTTATTGTTAAGGAATTCACACTGCCTTTTAACAAAAAGGGAATTAACTGATGCTGCAAGGTCCTTATTAATTGCATTGTCAAACCCAACAGTAAAAGTGAACATCTCTCTTTCAAGAAGTATTTTCTTCACATTCTCCTCTGACTCACTGTATAATGTGGAGTGAGTCACTTCAGATATTCATGGCAAACTCTCCCTCTTAGTAGGACACAGAGAATTCCCCCTACCCTCTAGTTGGGATCTGTCTCACTTGAGGTGTTTTGAGAGCTAAGTGGAAAAGGGATGGGCATTGCTTTTAAATAGGAAAATGAAACCAGATCAGTTTTTTTTAAACACCCTACAAATTTCTCATGACTTTGGAAAGGTCACTCACTAGCGGTGGCACAGGTTGTATGGCACATTTCCACTGGTAAAAGAGGAAGCTCTCCCAAGAGTAATGGAACAATGCAAAAATCAGGGAAAAAGAGAAGGAACATCAAGTTTCTTTGTGGCCAAGGCATGGTACCCATCATGCAGAAGCAACTGGAAGTCTTGACTTGGGCAGAAGTCTTCAAATGCTCCCGATCATGTGTTCAGCTGGGGGCAGAACCTCAATAGGAGCAAACAGTCAGTTCTGTGTCAGTGGAGCCAAAACTGCTTCCGGCTTTGGGGGAAGAGAGACCTCTCCATGTATTACCCTTACATACCCAACTGTGAGAGGTAATACAGTCATTCTACAAATCTGTGTAGCATTTCATTTCTCTTCCGAACAACCAATCACTCTCTGTGGGTGCCAGAGGCAAAAAGCTCAGCCTGGTGTTTAAAGCAGGAATCCCAAATGCAGAGAGAGCTGAAAAGAAAGGCCATTCACCTCGATGATAGGCTGAGCTGACACAACAGCACGCTAATATTGCTCAGTCAGGCTGTACCCCATACCATGACTGCAAACCCCCCTGAGGGCTAATGGAAACCTTGCAATTGAGAAGCAAAGCGCTCAGCACACGCTGCTGTAACCCAAGCTGCAGAAATCAGCAGTTCTCAAAGCAAAACCACAGAAGTATCTGACAGTCAGCTTCAAGAACACTTTTTGCTCCTTCCCCATCCTCTACCCTTCTCACATGAAGCAAAAGCAATGGGATCATGGCTGAGGGCTGCAGGAGAGCCAGCAGCAGGCATCTCATCCACAACAAAGAATTGAACGTTTCACCTACTTTTTGTCTGCAGGCAGGTTCTAAACAGAGTGACAGGAAAGTGATGACAGGGGAGAAAAAATGATATAGATGAAGTATCTTAACAAACTCCAAGCCACGACTCTCAGTGACTGGCAAAATAACTGAGTAATTTTATTATCATAGGTATCGCTATGAAAACGTAACAGTTGTTATTGCAGACAAAACATCACCAGAATTAACTGGGATACTGTATTTCAGCCGGATTTATAAGCCCATTCTAATTTATGTTCACAATAAATAATCTTCACAGCATCTCCCATAACCCTTAGAGAAGGATGTAAAACACATACATAGAAAGAGCATTACTATGCAAAAGAAATCTGCAGTTTCATTCATACGGCTTGCCTAAATGTGCTTCTTTGTCTTACTGAAGCTGGCTGCAGCATAACTCGGCAAATGCTTTTCAGGCCAGAAACTAACTAACTAACTAATCAAATAAGACAGCCTCTAGTCAAATGTAATGTGTCTTGGCCAAACTCCAGTGCACTTAGTTATGTTGTGCTTTTGTTAAAACTGTGTTAAACTAATATAAACTCAGTCTGATTATTGCTTTGGAGGTTGTCCTGGGTTCAGCAGTAGCAGTCATTTTTCTCCTTCTTGGTAGCTGGAGCAGTGCTGTGTTTTGACTTTCAGCTTGGGAACAGAGCTGATAACAATGATGTTTTGGTTTGGCCAAGGACTTTGGGAGCCTCATGCTCTGCCAGGGAGGAGGGGAAGCCAGGAGGAAGCAGAGACAGGACACCTGACCCAAACTGACCAAAGAGGTATTCCATACCACAGCACGTCATGCCCAGGATGTAACTGGGAGTTACCCAGAAGGGCTGGGACTGCAGGGTTGGAGGAGGCACCGGTCGGTGCTTGGTCGGGCTGGTGGGGGCAAGTTATCAGTCGGCTGGTGCTGAGGTGTTGTATTCTCTTCCCTTGTTATTTCCTTTATCATTATTATCATTGGTGGTAGCAGTAGTGATTTGTGTTATACCTCAGTTACTAAACTGTTCTTATCTCAACCTGTGAGAGTTGCATTCTTTTCGATTCTCCTCTCCATCCCTCCGGGAGTAGGGGGAGGGAAAGAAGAGGGGGGACAGTGAGTGAAGGAGCTCTGCCTGGTTTTCAACCACGACAGAGGTTAATGGGCACCCTTCTATAACTACCTGCAAATGTCCTCATACTTGTGTTCTATATCACCAGTAGCTTAATAAAACCACAGCCTCATCAAAGAGTGGGGAGGCTGCCCTCTCTTGCCTCCCTCCTGCCTTGCTTATCTCACTCTCACTTGAAGATAAGAAAAAGCTAGAATAACCATTTGAAGAAACTGGAATATAATTTTTCACTCGGCATTACTTGTTTCCTTATACCACATATGCCTTATATCAACCGTCTGTATTCTTAAAGCTTGTTTGTTTAACTAAAAAGGTAAGGCTCTCCCATCTGTTTAAGAACCCCCTTTTAGGAATGTCAGTAACACAAAGACAAAACGTCTTCATCAGGCCCACATCATTTTTCTTATTAAGTGAAAAGAAACAGTGGAAGGTGTCCCTGCCCATGGCTTTAAGGTCCCTTCCAACCCAAACCAGTCTGGGATTCTATGAAAGCCATGGCTATCACACCTTTATATATAACATCTCAATGCAACGTAAATGGGAGATGACATTTTTCAGAAGATACGCACACTGCCACATTAGGAACAAGCAATGACCTTTCGAAGTAATGGCAATTTTAATTCAGTTATCAAAAGCCTGAAATAGCAAGCAAATGAAAAGCAGAATGCCAGCAAGGATGAGAATGCTAGAACTTAGTAGGTCATTTTTTCTGCCAGCATTTTCATTCTGTTTGCATTACATCTTCATTTGGAACCTATTTTTTCTCAGACTGAAGGATCTACTTTTTGTACAGACAACGCCAACCTGGCTGTAATACTGAAACCCACCATTTACTGTAACAATTGCAAAAATACTGTAGGACAGCACAGGGGAAAAGAATCAATTTCACTTCTAAGAAGCAATTTCTTTTCTGCTTTTTCCCCCCAGTACTGTATAATTCACAACCTGAAGCTGAGCAATTTATATCCAAACAGCCTCTATTACACCTCAAAGTCAATAATGGGGCTGACCCAAGAAATGCTAAAGGCTTTTGTTACTTTTCTTTGTTACAAGTATGCGGATGTGAAATACTGTTTCGTGGTGCTTCTGCTGGAACAATGCTCGTGTACAACAAATTCACTCCTGAAAAGTATTGCTATTCAATGCTCAATGTCAAATGATCATAAAAATTTAACAGCTGCATTAGATAGATCAATGGCTTATCTAGTTCATTGTTCTCTCTTCAAAGAAAAAGGTGACTGATAATAGGTGATTCACAAGTATAACAGCACAGAGTATGTAGAATGATCCTCACCCACAACATTTCCAGCTTCCCATAAACACTGGCTTTAAACCTGTCCAAGATGAAGGTTGCATCCTGCCTTTTAAAGAACTGTCCCCCATGAATGTGTCTGATCTTTAGGAAACCATTAATGCCTCTGGCCTCCACTGAATCCCACACCAGTGAGTCCCAGTGCTGAACTACTCACCTGGAGACAAATGACCTCCTGAAGCTCATTTTAAGGCTGCAGCCTGGCAAGGTAATGACTGTCTCAACTTGTGTTGTGGGATGCACTGCACACCTCCACCCCTCCACCATTACAGGACCACAGTGTATCAAATTTAGGTATAAGTCACCTAAAAAGAGAGCTCTCCGGTTTAAAGAGCTTCATGCACTTTGAGTTGCAAAGCCCTGAAGAAGACCCTCTCCACGTCTAGGCAGTAGAAATCATGATTTCATGAAGAATGAGATGTGAAAGCATTACACCATGATCTGGAAACCAAAACTGCTCCATCATTCAACGAATACATTGGGGATGAATGAAACAGGTGTGGTTTGATGCCAGACAGCAAATTTCACTCATTGAGAAACAGCAGGGAAGTACACTTTCTTTGCCAGTCCTGCCAATCAGGTCCAATATGCATAGCTTAACTGGACTTCTACTGCTTTCCTGATCAGATGCAAAATATTACATGCCAGGCATGCTCAGTGTGCGTATTTCTGCTCTATGATGTGCTCATCCACAGTCTTACTCAGTAGGCATAGTAGATAGTATGATAATAGACATCTTAATAAAAAGACACAGAGCTGGGTGTGCAGAGGGATGATGGAAGAACAGGACCAGACAACACACAAGGACTAACTCAGTGCCTACCTTTGCATCTCGTTAAATGGTGCAAACTGAACTGCTGGCCTAAATCAAATTGTGCACTAGCAACATGCTTTATCATGATTATCATTATTACATCCAAGTATGGATGGAACAGCATTCTGGAATAGCACAATGCCATTTGCAGTATAATGGCTTTGTTAACAAGCTGTAAGCAAGAGCTCCCACCCAAATACTGAAAAGGAGCTACGGATGTTTCTTAGATCAAGCCTAATGGATTTCTTTGGAGGCACAAGGAAGCCTTTGATCAAGCTGCAATAAAAATAAATACTAAAAAAATAATAATTAGAAGCATAGCATCTCTTTATACTTACTTCAGCACAGAAATACATTAAACCAGTG